ACACACACACACACACACACACGCACACAAATAAATAAAATTAAAAAAAAATAATGCCTGTAGTTACCAAGATGAAACGAAATGTAACGTACATGAATTAGCACTTGACAATAAGCATTCAGTGGATGTTAGTTGCTGTTGTTTTAATGCATTCATTTTTCCTGTCTTGAATATAAGTATTAAAAACTATTGGATAAATAAAAAAAATTAAAAATAAATGAAGCTAACTGGTCCCTTCTCTGCCTTATACAGTACAGATCTCACGGGGAAAAATTTTTTGCCTCATATACTAACACTGCCCAATCCACTTTTTTAAAAATTTTGTTTTAGCGAAGGATCTACGTCTCACTACCAGATGAGACTCGTAGTGATCCGCCTGTTTACAGCCTCCTGAGAACTGGGATTACGGGAACGCGCCACCACGCCCCGTCCCAACCCACTTTTTAAAAAATGTATTGGTTGTTGCAGGGTCTCACTTCTTAGCTCAATGATCCTCCTTTTCCAACCTCCCCACCGCGGAGTCATGCGTGTGCCACCACCCCAACCCACTTTGAACAGTCATACAGATGTCCGTAGCACAAAACCCCAAAATTTTTGGCTAGACATTCAAGGTTGTACTTTTACTAGCGTTTTCTCATTGCCTCGCCCATGGACTCCTGGCTTATATTCGTTTTGAAAGGTAAAGGGAGTACGACCACAGAGCTTATTTTGTGAATCACGTGTGAACACGATTTGCAAGACTACAAAGCACTACTTAGAATCCTAAACCCCCTACTCTGAAGCTTTGAAAAAGGAAACCAATGCAGTCGGTGGTTAGCTCGGGACGATGGGAGGGAAGGAGAAAGCTGGGTCACGGCGGAGATCTGAACTCCAGGTACCACGTCCCCTGGCAGCCTACACAGTGCAGAACTCCAATATGGCGGACGAGAAAAGCGTCCTCCGCGGCCCCCGGCCTGGACTACGGGAGGGCGGAGTCTTCAGGGAAGGCGCTCCTGCGAAGCGCCGCAGAAAGCACCATTCCTTCAACACTCAAGGTAGGCCTGCTGTTGCCACCTCACATACTCCCCGAGAAAGGTGAGCTCTGAGAATTTGATGACTATGGTAAGCGAGAAATCAGCCGAAGCGGAACCTCTTTCTCTAATCCGACCAGATTCCACCTCCCAAACCTCACCTTTACTCGTTCGGCCCTTCTATGCACAAGCGCACTTCACTCGGCCCGCGCGGGGCGGAGCCGCTTTCTGTAATCTCGCGAGAGCAGGGCGTCCCAACTCCGTAGCCTCGCCCCGCCCCCTTCTCTTCGCTCGCGTTCTCCCATCCCCCCAGCCAGTCACTGTGCTGCGCAGCTTCCTTACTGGTCGCCGCTGCTTGGACGGTTAAGGAAGCCGTTGTTGGCGCGCTTCGCGAGGCGAACGGCTTGTCCCTCCGCAGGACCGGAGCCTGCGAGCGCCGGAGGCAGCGTTACTATCGCCCGTCAGGGTATCTGAAGTAAAAGGGGGTAGGTTGGGCTGGCGATGTCGAGAGGCGAGTCGGGAGAAGGACGAATGGGAGACCGGGAGGGGGTGGGGTAGGGGAAGCGCGGAGGTCGCCGCTCGGAGGCGGCCGCACCGCGCATCTCGGGCGAGCTCCCGCTTCGAGGAGGGCGGCTTGTCCGGGGAGGACTTGCTCGGGTGGGCTCCGGGGAACGACGCCAGGGCCCAGAGGGGGGCTCCCAGCGCGCCCCCGGCGCCGCTGGCCGGGCCTCCGCCATTTTGGGTACGGTGGCGCGGACACTTCGGCTTCCCGCCCTTTCTACTTTTCGTCCCCCAGCTCCCGAAAACGGACTTGGCAGGCCACGGGGCGAGGGCGGCCGTGACTCCCGGGAGGGACGCGGGTGGGAAGTGAAGCGAGCAAGCGGGGCCGGGCCCTGGCGCCATCCCGAGGGAAATGGCGCCGAGGGGCCCGGCCTCCCGCCGCGGCCTCGCTTCCTCCGCAGGCTCGGCGGGGCTGCCTGGGCTGCGGGACTGCGAGCGACTTCTGACGCAGCTTCCCAAGGTGAGACAGACCGGAGCTGGGGGAAGAAGGCCAATGGCGGCGGAGGCGCTCGGCTCCCAGACCCAGGACAAAGGAGGCAGGCGCCCTCCTTTGTAACCCGCCGCCGGGTGGCGAAGGTTTTAAGCCACGCTCGGCTACGGCCGGGAGGGGCAGCGCCCGGGCTCTGGGCTCTCGGGGCAGCTAGGTGAGCCGAGAGTCCGCAGGGAGGAGGAAAGGACGCGTAGCCGGCCCTTAGATCCCGATTTGGAACTTCGGAAAGAGTACGTACTCATTTTCCATAGGGATTTGTTTTTCCTTTCACGCTGAAGGTTTATGAAAGGACTCAGGCTTTGTGAACGGAAAAGTCGGTGACAAGTAAAGTAAAAATGTGCAGTGGGCTTGTTTTGAATAGATTGTTGGAGTCCAGTGAACTGTGATGCCGCTTCTTGAACTTAAGGGCGGAGGTGGTATCCATTTAGCATTGGTTTTGTGTAGTTTGGCACTCGATGGGTTAGAATTCTTTTAGAGTAGTTTTATTTGGGGGGAGAGAGCTGTTAATCAGTTTTGGAAAAAATGTGTACTGGAGAATTGAGTTGCTAACTACCTCCTAAAGCTTCGAGGGTCTTATTTTATGTAGGTTCCCCCCCGCTTTGCTTTTAAGGCTGCAGCATTGATACTTCAGAATACAGTTTAATTTGTTTTGGTAGCAAAGCATGTTTTTAGGAATACTGTATAGTGATGTTGGAGCGAGGAAATAAGCTATGTGGGGGTGCTTTTGTGTTGGAACCTCAGAAACTAGGGAAATACATATTGGTAATCTTCATGACTATAATTTAAAAAAAAACAGGCAAAAGAAAGTGAGAGTTTCATATAATGTATATAAGCAAAAATTTGTTGTCTATCTTTTCGGCTTTAAAAACAAAGCTTTCTTGAAGTTCTTTGAGGTATGATTGCTAAAGAAAAGTTTACCAAAATTTTAACTTTGGATTTTATTTTTTAGAAAACTGCAAGTAAAAGATTTAATTTTAGAGATTGAGTTCGCCATTTGTAAATACACTAAAGTATAGTCCACGCAAATTTAGATTAATTTTAAACAATGACAATTTTTTTTTTCATAGTACATTGAAACTGTAATTCTTTTATTTATTTATTTGTATTTTAGGGACCGGTCTACAGGGTGTTCCGGGTCTCTCTACTAGATCAGACTCGTAGTGATCCACCTGTTTATTTTTTCCCATAATTTTACCTAGAAACCGATAGCAGTGAGACAGTTTCAAACCAAATTGGTAGGACAGTTTCAATAATTAACACATTGCATACATTCTTCCTAGTGATTATTTGCTGTACAAGATGGGGACATGATATCCTATTTACAAACACTATTAGAACAAATCCTTCTATTAAGAGAATGTAACT